GGGCATCTTGAAGGTCATCTTGGCCGCCTGGAGGCCATTCTGACCCTTTCGGGCCTTCTTGGAGGACGTCTTGGGGGGCTCTTGGGCCGTCTTGGAGGCTATCTTGAGCGTCTTGGAGGCCCTGGGGGCCTCTTGGGGCCGTGTTTTGGGCCTCTTGGGCGATCTTCGTGGGCACTTGGGCCGTCTCGGGCCGTCGGAAGGCAGAAAAACAGCAAATGCCACAATCCTTCAAACACCTATGGCAAATCAATGATTTTGGCCCTTTTTCGAGCCTTCCTGGAGGCCGTCTTGGAGGCCTCTTGGGCCGTTTTGGGCCATCTTAGGGCAATGTTCGGCCGTCTTGGTGGGCTCCTGGTCCGTCGGAAGCCGTTTGGGGGGCCCCTATGGGCCGACTTGGGGCCCTCTTGGAATGTTCCAGGGCTGTCTTGGAGGCTCATCTTGGGCGTCTTGAAGGCATCTTGTGCCGTCTTGGGGGCCGTCTTGGGGCCCTCTTGGGCTGTTCTGGGGTCATCTTGGAGGCCTCTGGGCGATCTTCGGGGGCTCTCGGGCCGTCTCGGGCCGTCGGAAGGCCGAACAGAAGCAAATGTCAAAAATCCGTCAAATACCTGAGGAAAATCAATGTTGTTGGCCTCTTCTGGCCTTCCTGGAGGCCTTCTTGGGGACCTCTTGGGCCGTCTTGGGCCAGCTTCGAGCCAACTTCGGCCATCTTGGTGGGTTCCTGGCACGTCTGACGCCGTCGGGAGCAGTCTTGGGGGCCTTTCTGGGCCGACTTGGGGCCCTCTTGGGGCGCTTCGGGGCCGTCTTGGAGGCCATCTTGGGCGTCTTGGAGGCCATCTTGTGTGTGTTGGAGGCCTCTTGGGCCGTCTTGGGGCCCTCTTGGGGCCGTCTTGGAGGCCACTTGGGCCGTCATGGGGCCCTCTTGGGGGCCTCTTGGGCGATCTTGAGGGCCTCTTGGGCCGTCTTGGGCCGTCGGAAAACCGAAAAGGCGCAAATGCCCAAATCCTTCAAAAACCTAAGGAAAATCAATGATTTTGGCCCTTTCGGGCCTTCCTGGGGGACGTCTTGGATGGCTCTTGGGCCGTCTTGGAGGCCTCTTGGGAGCCTCTTGGGCCGTTTTGGGCTATCTGGAGGCCATCTTAGGCGGTCTTGGGTGCATCTTGAACCGTCTTGGAGGCATCTTGGGGCCATCTTAGCCGCCTTGGAGGCCATCTTGGCCGTCTTGGAGGCATCTTGGAGGCCATCTTCGGCCATCTTGAGCGAAAAAGCCAACGAGATTGGGGAATTTGGGGCCTTCCGGGTGGCCGGCGGGACGGGCCGAAGCCCCAGAGGAGTTCTTTTGGAAAAAAAGGGCCAAAACCCATATAGTCTGGCACGCCAGGCACCCCTTTGCCAAAGCAAAAGGGGGCGGCGGATCTCGAGGCCTTTGGCCCATCCCGCCACCGTGCCGGGGTCTTGGACAAGAGGCATCTCAAGAGCCTTTTGAGGTCTCTGGGGTGGCCTGTTGGAAGCATCTTGGAGGCCTCGTGGGGGGCTTCTTGGGATCTCTCGGGGCCTCTTGAACGCTTCTTGGCCGCGTTATGGGGGTCCGCTGGCGGTCTTGGGGGGGCCATCTTGCGAGAAGGGGATCGAAGTCTCAGTCCGGGTTTCCTCTCTTGAAACCTTGGGGTCGTTTGGGGGCCTCTTGGGCCCTCTTGAGGGCCTCCTGGGCCGTCTTTGGGCGATGTTTGGGCCTCCTGGGCCGTCCTGGACGGTCTTAGACTAGACAAAGATCTGGGGATCCTCAAAAGTGCGCGAGGGCGCCTAGAAATTCTCGGCATTCGGCGACCTGGGCCTTACTTTGCAACAGCCCATACAGAGCGCTCCACGCAATGCCTTTGGCACCGTGGCGGAAGCAGCTACTGGCCAACCCGGCAACCGACCAAAATAGTAAACGAATAAGCGCTACAACGCAATTGCAGATCTCAAATCTGGGCCCGTTGCATACAGTTTGTAGTATTCGTGTTGTTTTGGCGTTGTCTAGGAGGTGGGCTATTGTTGTCTGTTGTTCAGTTACGTATTTGTTTCTGGTATTGCGGTCCATGATATAACTATTGTTAGGTGTGCGTTCGAGACGCCAGTGTTTATGGGGTTGGTACCGTACATATGGCTTGGGGCTTGGGAGTGATAATTTGGCTGTATGTCCATATTTCTCCGTCGCCTTTCTCCAAGGTTCTCGCCTCCATGCGGAATCGCGCTCTCTCGCTTGCTCGCTCCTCCGCGCTGGCCTTATCTCCGTTTTCTCCTCTCTCTATGTATATTTATCTTTCTCTTTCTCTTTTCCCCAACCCCTTTTCTCTGTTTATATTTCTTTGTGTTTGTTGCTCTCTCTCTCTCTCTCTTTCTTGTCCTATTGCACTGCCCTTGTAGCTATCTGTGTCACTCTGGACCTCTCTCTCCCTCTATGTCTCTGTCTCTCTCTCTCTCTCTCTCCCCCTTTTTTTTTTTTCTCTCTCTCTCTCTCTCTTTCTCTCTCTCTTTAGTCTCGGCTCAAGCCTCAGGGGAGGTTGCGAGCTTTGGCGATGCCTTCGCGCGGTGAGACCGCTCCCCCGCCCAGTCGGGGCAACCGAATCGCCCTTTTCAGTCCCCCCCCCACCGGCGCGCGCCGTGGCCCCTCCGCGCTCGCCCCTCCGCGCGACCTCGGCACACCTCGGCGCCCCCCAGCGGCCCAGCCGACTGGAGGCCTTCGACGCACAGCACCCAAAACCCCGAGGACAGATCGCGCGGAAGGGCGCGTGCCTCGAGGCTTCCCGACAGGGCGGAGGTGGCCGCCCAGCGCCAGCCTACTGCCAATGGCCCTGCCCAGTAGGCCGGCGATGCCTTCGAGGCGGCCTGGGCCGCCCGCCGCGGCTCGGCAGAAGACGCCCGACGCGCGCCCCGCCGCCCGCGCGCCGCCCTCCAGGCCCCGCGCGCCCGCGACAAAGATGCCACGGGCGACGAGGCTCGGCCTCGGCCGCCCGCGGCCGCGGTCGCTGCCCCGCGCTGCTCCTGGATCCGAGCCACTGGGACGTGCTCTCCTCCTCCTCCACTCCTCCTCCTCCTCTCCTCCTCCTCCTCCTCCTCCTCCTCCTCCTCCTCCTCCTCCTTCCATCCTGTACTGCGAAGGCCGCGGCGCGGGTCCCTTTGCCGCCGCGCCCGCGCTTGCGCCCGCTCTGAGCTCCCGGAGCGTCGCGACGACACCTCCCGAGCGGGGTGCGGGCAAGCCCGGACCCCGCTCGGCTAGTCGCCCAGCTCCTCCAGCTCAGTCAGCGAGCGGCGCCCCGGCGCAGCCCGGCGCCGCAGCAGCCCGCCGCGGCAGCTCGCAGCTCGGCGGCCCGGCCGGCGCCGTCCACCCCCCGCCGCCGGGCGCGCCGCTTCCGCCGCGCTGGCGTGGGGCGCGCGCCGCGCCGCCGGGCGCCGCCGCGGCCGCCGCCGCCGCGCGGCGGTTGCCGCCGGTGCCGCCGCGCCTCCAGCCCCGCCCCGGGCAGCCGCCGCCGCCGCCGCCGCGCGTCTGCCAGAGCGCCGGCTCGTCCGCCCGGCGGCCGCGGCCCAGCATGCACCGCGCCGCCACGCAGACCCGGCGCACGCCCGCGCAGCCCGCCGCCGCTGCCCAGCGCGCCGCGCCCGCCGCAAAGCGCCGCCGCCGCCCTCCTAATCCCTGCGTGCCCGTCGCGCCAGGTCGCCGCCCTTGCGCGCGCTCCTCAGCAGCAGGCCGCGCCTCCTCCCTCCTCTTCCTCTTCTCCTCCTCCTCCTCCTCCTCCCTCCTCCTCCTACTTTCCTCCTCCCTCCCCTCCCTCCCTCCTCCTTCCTCCTCCTCCTCCTCCTCCTCCTCGTCCTCCCCCTCGAGTCTCCGGAGCCGACCGTGGACGCAGACGCGGGCGCGACCGCGCACCAGAGCTCCGTCTCTCGGTGCACGGCCGAGGACGCGCCGGCCATCCTGGCCGCGCTCCAGCGCCAGGGCGAACCCCTTGCCGCGGTCGCCCTCGGCCCCACGGACCCGCAGCGCACCGGCCTCGAGCGCACGGTCCCCGGCATCCGGCGGTCGACGGCAGCCCGCCCACCTCGACGCTGCCATCTACCAGTTGGGTCGCAATGGGGTCCAAAGCATCCAGGATCCCATGGAAGTGGAGCTCCACCCCGCGCTGCAAGTTACCCAGACCTCCTCGAGTCATGAAAAAATCACGACGGGAGGTTTTTCGCTATTTTCGGCCTCTGAGGGCCCTTACCGGGCCTCGGGACCGTCAAAAAACGACTCGGGATGAAAAACCGGTTCCGGGGAATGGGTCTGGACCTCTGGGGGTCGCGTCATGAAAAAATCATGACGTCGGGGGTCTGGGTACATGGGTCCGTGGTCCCATCTGGGAAGATGAAGCCAAGGCCGCCGCTGACGGAGCACTCGCCGAGCTGTTCGCCCAGCAGTTCGCAGGCGGTGCCCCGATCAAAGGGCACAACGCTGCAAGCGCTGTCGACGCCCCGGCTCAGCCGCGCGGCTCAGCGGCATTGGGCGCCCCGCCTGCCTCCGCCTACGAGGGCGACCGCATGGCCGAGGACGTTTTTTTCCCCTCTTCCTCCTCGCTTGCCTCCCTCGATCCGCTCAAGCCCTGTCGGCGGCAAGCGCGGCCCCGCGCCAAGTTGCACTTTCGATTCGGGCATCTCATGGGTTCTGGGGGCCCCCACCAGCGAGCAGACCCCGCTTCCGCGGGCGGGGGTGGCCCGCGCGCGCGCGCCACTTTGCGAGTGCTGACGTCGCCAGCCTCGAGGCCCACTGGGAACTCTGCACGAGGACCACAATGCGTCGGCGACGTGCGTGCAAGAGACCCGCCGCCCAGCGGGCCGCCGCACCGCCTTCCACTCCTGCTCCACAGCACGGGAGCGCGGCAGCCGGAATCCCATCCTCGGCAAATCGCCGCCTGGCCAATTCGTCGCTCGGCGCGGGCGGCGGGGCGGCGCCGACCACCTCCAGCGCTCCGCGCGCTCTCGCCAAGGAGGCGCCGCCATCGCGGCGCACGGGGGCCCCAGCGGACACCTGCACCGACGACCCCGCAGTAGCCCAGCTCATGCAGACCGCCCGTCGGGTGGAGGCCTGCGCCCCGTGCCCTGCCCCGCGCAGGGCGCGCGAACACGTCGCCGCTGGTTTCTGCCTGGTATCGCTGTATGCCGACGGAGGCCAGGACAACGCGGGGCCTCTTTCGCCTGGCCCCTGCCTTGCCGCCGCTGCGCGCGGTGGCGCAGCGATCACTTGTCTTTGCGCGGGCGCCGACGTCGACATTGACCGCTCGCCGATTCTGCAGGGCGCCATCCGCCTCGGCTGGACCAACGTAGCCTCAGGCTATCCGGGCGAGCGCGATCGCACTTTCGGCCAGCACAAAGGCTGCAAACGTAGCGTGGAGGAGGGGACCTCGCATCGATTGTGCTCTCGCCAACCCCAGGCCCGCCGCCTGGTCGCAGATGTCGTGCTCCTGCGGGGCCTCCCGATCCCCCCTGGCACCTGGGTCTCCAGGCCACGCTGGATCTCGACTCGGGCCAGCAAGAAAAGCCTTCCGCCTTGAGCCCATCAGGCCTTATCATCCTTTGCCCGACCACATTCCGTGGGGAGAGATACAGGACCGCGGCGAGGCAATCGAGAGCGCCAACTCCGACGCCCTCCAGGCGGCGGGCGACGCTGACGACCCCGACGCAACGCTTAGGATCGCCAACGACGCGGCGCACGCCTTCCACGCGCGAGGTCAGCTCGACGCGGGCACGGGGGCCGCCTCGGGCCGACGGGGCCACCGACCGCGTCGCCCTCGAGCAGGAGCGACTCCTGCGCCAGCTGGCGCCCCTGGCGAAGATGCGGCGCGCCGTGGCAGGGGCCGCCGGCTCAGCCCGCGCGGCCCTCGCGCACCAGATCCGCGGCGCGCGAACCAACGCCGCGTTGCTCGACGAGTGCCTGGGCGCTCCGCTCGGCTCCGCCACCCACTTCCCCGCCTGGCGAGCCACTGCTCCCCCAGCAGGCCCAAACCGCTTGCCGATCTCACGGCCGCGACGACCGCGACGGCGCATCCGTGGCCGCCGCTAGGCTGCGCGCGTCAAGGACTGGACCAGCCGCATTCGCACGTTGGACCGTGGTCTCTGCGAAGCTGCCTGGGCCAAGGCCGCCGACGCCTCGGCCACGCGCTACTTGCGCGCGCCGCGCACGGCGGCCTCCGCGACTCCCCCGGGGCGCGGGGCCGGGACGTCAAAGACGACCCTCTGTCAGACGACGCAGTTGCCTAGACCTCCGACGACGAGCTGTCGCGCTACGCTGATTCGCGCGCCTCGGCCGACGACGACCCCGAAGTCCAGCGCTCCATCCACCGGGCGCGCCGGCGACCCCACGGGATCGCCGGCGCCCAGGCGACGCTCAAACAGATGGTCGACACCTGGAAACCCATCCTCGCGCGGCGAGGAGGAGGGAGAGGAGGAGTTGAGTGTAGGCAGGAGGAGGAGGGGAGGTCGGAGGAGGAGGAGGAGGAGTGAGGAGGAGGAGGAGGAGTGAGGAGGGGAGGATGGAGGAGGCAGGAGGAGGAGGAGGAGGCGACGAGGAGGATGGAGGTGAGTGTCCCTACAGCCGTATGTAGGGCAGCTGAGGGACATGGAGGAGGCTTAGGATTGAGGAGTTGAGGGGGAGTAGAGGTAGAGTGCGTTAGTTGTGTTCCGTCTTGAGAGGAGAGTTAGATGAGGAGGTTAGTGTATATTGAGGACTTGTATTCCATAGAGGTCACGTTTGGAGGATGGAGTTGTGAGTGGAGGAGGCTGTTCACTACGGAGCTAGGAATCAGATTGATGGTTTTGTTTTTTACTTGCGTTTATGCCGATGGGCCCATATGTCTCTCCGCAACGTATCCTGTTCCCGCGCGCCGGGCAGGCTCGACGGCTGGTGCACGCCGGCGGTATGGCTCAGGGCGCGCTGGACCTCGATCGGCCTGCTTCGGCCTAGTCGCGGATTTGTTGTTGTTGGGTTCCGCGCCCTCGTATGCGTATCCGCGCAGCGTCGCGGGGCGCCGCGCCCAGAAGTAACTGGGCCGCGGTTCCCGGGCATTCGCTCGCGCGAAGGGCGCGGGGAACTCCCGGCCGACCAGCGGCCCCAGCCCGCGACGGGGGCGTGGGTGCGCGCCCGGGAAGGCCCCGCCTGCAGGCCCCTCGACGGCGCGGCGAATGGCGCTCTCAGTGGGCCCGCGCTGCCAGTCTCGGCTCCGCCCCGCGCGCCGCCGTCGGCGACGCCAGCGCCGCCCTCTCTCCTCAGGTCGCGCACGCGCGCGAGCCCTCGCCGCCCCACCTGCTGGGGCGGCACTGGACCGCCAGAAGTGCTTCGACTACCTGATCACGGACGCCCTGCCTCCAGCTCGCGAAACATGCTGGATGCCCAGACGACATCGCAGCCGTCCGGCCCTACTTTCATGGCAACCGTGAGCGCTGCATCCGCACGGGGGGGGCCCATTCGCGGCTGCTGACCCGCGCCGACTGGCGCCTTCAAGGTAGCCCCTGGCCCTTGAACGACACTTTTGATGTGCGTCTGGACAAACCGCCGGCGCCATTGCGTTCCGAGGTCGCTCAGCGTTACCTGCGCGGACGACAGCAATTCCTTTGCCCTCTCGGCAGCAGAGCTCGGCATGGCGCTCGCGCAGACCGAGCGTTTCGACCCTTTTCCTGAGAGATGGCGCACCCGAGAGAGGCCGTCGGCTGGGCCCTCGGCCAGACGCTCTGCGCCCAGGTCAACCAGCTGATGCTCTGCGGCACGCCACTCCGCCTGCGCGGCCACTTCGGGCTCCTTGGCAGCCACCTCCACGCCCTTCCCGACCGCGCCCCCGACCAGCTCGCCTTGGCCCCCCCCCCCTTGGACGCCCGAGCCCGCCAGGCCCAGGCCCGCCTCCAGCGGGTCGCCAGCCTCCCCGAGGGCGCGGAGAGCGCGCGCGGTGGCCCCCCTTGGACGCCCGAGCCCGCCAGGCCCGGGCCCGCCTCCAGCGGGCCGCCAGCCTCCCCGAGGGCGCGGCGAGCGCGCGCGCGGCCAGGCCGCTCGCCGCCGGCGCCCGCGCCGCGGGGGCCGACGTGCGCGCGCCGCCGCGCCGCCTCAGGGCGGTTATAGCAAGCGTCTCCTATCCTCCTCCTCCTCCTCCTCCTCCCTCCTCTTCATCCTCTCCTCCTCCTCCTCCTCCTCCTCCCACGCCCTTCGCCCTTCGCCCCCGCGGGCGGCCACGGCTCTCCCGCGGGGGTCAACGGCAGCCATCTGCGCACCTGGCCGCGCCCTCGACCCGGCAGCACCCGGCGCGCGGCGCGACCGCGCCGGCGCGAGGCTGTCGCCGCGGCCCGACGACAGGCGAGCCGCGACGAGTCAGGAGGGGGAAAAAATCGCAGGCCTAGAGGTTGACACCAACACCGATTTCGGCGGTGTGCCTCCACCGAGGGAAGAGAGGATCCCGATCTCGGCGATGGTGGTAATATTATGGTTTCCAGGGCGACCGAAATATTACCACCGACACCGAAATCCAGGATCCTCTTCCCCCTGTGGAGGCAACCCCCCTGTGTTGGTGTTGGTGCTCATGTCCAGGCCTCCCAAAAAACACACACAGACACAGTGAATCGTCGATTCCCAGAGAATGTGGGGAGATCTGGGAAGTGGAGGGGGCAGACAGAAGCGCAGAAAACATGTGGGAAAAAATGGGGGGAGTCCTGTTATTTGTGTGTGTGTGTGTGGTTATTCGTATGTCCCAGTTTCCCTTCAACAAGTGGCTATGCCGCGTCGTCGACGACCTCCGGCCGTCGGCTCAGCAGAGCCTCTTTCAGACCCTCGGCCAGCTCAACTGGACTCGGCCCAGCAGGGGGACTGGATCATGCACGACGATTGGGGCACCGCCATCGCGCGGTTCACCCTGCCGCCCGGCTGCCTCGCCCACATACTCCGTGCGTCTCAGTGGCGGTGCTTCTTGCATAAGATCAACCCCTTCCGGCACGACCTCGGCTTCCTTGCGTCAGTGCCCCAGGGCGTCGACACGCGCGCCTGCGCGTACCTCCTGCGCACCCAGGGTCGATTCAAGAGCACCGCATGGCAAGCGGGGCTCTGCATCAACTACCTGGCCGGAGGTGACCACGCGCAACGACGTCTCCACCGCGCCAGGTGCTCTGCCGACGACTTCCGGATCTGCCGCTACTGTCGGGGAAGCGTAAGACTCGAGTAAGCCGGAACTCGGGTTTGCCGACGTTTTTTAACGAGCGCGTCCCAGATTTTGACAGTCCAGTTTTCGTGGGATGTTTGCAGCGGGAGCTCGCGTCAAATTTCAGATTGGGTCTCGTCATTTTTGCGATGGCCCTGTCAGGCCAACCCGAGTCCCCCGTACCCGAGTCTTACGTCTTCCCGATACTGCGATCAGGAGGACGAGACGCAGGAACGCATGATGTGGCGATGCCCCTGCTGGGCCCCTCAGCGCCGAGCCCTCGCCCCCCCTCCCCCTCCTCCTCCCCCTCCTCCTCCTCCTCCTCCTCCTCCTCCTCCTCCTCCTCCTCCTCCTCCTCCTCGTCGTCCTCCTCCGCCTCAGCCTCCCTCTCCTCCTCCTCCTCCTACGACTCCTCTCTCTAGTCCTCCTCGCCTCCGCCTCTGTCCTCTCCTCCTCCTCCTGAATCCTCTCACTCAATCACTCCTCCTCCTCCATGGTCTCTGGCCACCACTGGGCTCGGTCCCCGCCGCGCGCGCGTCAATGCGGGCCGCTGCCAGGAGACCCGCACCTCCTTGACCTGCAGAAGGAGCTGGCGCAGGACCCGCTTCTTCAGTAGGGGGCCACAGGCGAACCCTACCCCTATACCCCCCAGGATTTCTGAGGGGGAGGGTGGGGTTCACCTCGCTCGGGAGCTCCCGAATGGAGTGATCCCCACCCTCCCCCTCAGAAGTCGTGGGGGGTGGGGGTAGGGTTCGCGTGCGGCCCCCTACCGCTTCGTCGGCCTGCCCCCTGGCCCCTGCCGGACCTCTGGCAGGGCGCACGGCAATAACATTGCGACGCTGACGGCGCGCCGCTCGGCCTGCGCGGCACGGGCGGGGCCTGCTCGCACCAGGCCCACCCGCTGTTCGCGCGGTCTGGCTCTGGCGCCATCGACGGGGCCGATCATCGCCTTCACCATTCTCAGGGGAACAAAAAGTGGCATGAACAAAAACTCGGAGGTCCGCGCGGATTTCTCGGATCGGCGCTGGACCCCCCTCCCTGGCGCGCGGAGCGCGCCAGGGGCGGCGCCGGAGGCGCCGCCAGAGGGCCCCAGCGCCGATCCGAGAAATCCGCGCGGACCTCCGAGTTTTAATGTTTCTGCCACTTTTCGTTCCCCTATCACCATTCTGCCAGAGTCCACGGGCTGGCTCAGTCCGCTCAGCGCGCCGAGGCCCTGGCCCTTCGCCACGTGGTGTCCACCGCCGAAGGGCCTCTCAACGTCTTCGTGGGCACTCAGACGGTCCACGACACCTTTGCGCTCCTGCTCAGCGGCGCTCCGCCCCCGGCCAAGGGCGAACGAGCGGATCTCTGGAAGCGAACGCACCGAGCTGCCCTCCCTGGCTGCCGAGTCGAGAAATAAGTGTCCAGCCATAAAGGCGAGGAGGGAGTTCACGCGGGTCTGCTACAAGCCACCGCGGAACACTTCAACGGCAAGACCGACGAGCTGGCCACTGACGCGGCGGCGCTCCACGCCGCCCCTGCGGCTCTGCGCGACGCCGCCAAGCAGCGCTTCCGGCTGGCGGTGGCCCCCCATGCCATTGTTGTCGCTATCTTCGACAAGCGTCCCCGCGCGCGCCCCCTGCCCCGCCGACGGGCTGGCGGCGCCCACGCCGAACTCGGACGGAACCCCACTCGTGGGCGGGCCCAGCAGCCGACCCCCCGGCGCCCCCCGCCGAAGACGCCACACCGAGCTCGGAGGAGAGCGCCCACCTCGTGCTCCACGGCCCTCAGACTGAGGGCCGTGGAGCCGTCGAGGGACGACTGAGCCGTCGAGGGCCGGCATCCACCGGGCCCGTCGAGGGACGACTGAGGGCCTCAGTCGTCCCTCGACGGGCCCGGTGATATGCCGGCCGCCGACGACTGCCACCCCCTTCGGCCTTGGAGGGCCAGCGAAGGCGCCTCCCCGGACGACGGCGCGCCTCCCCGCGGCGCACGGCCCAGCGACGGGTCGCCTCGGGGGCGCCGCCCCGCGCGTCGCGGGGCCCGCCTCGGGCGCGGCCCTCCCGCGGCATTGCCCCGGCGCCGATCGCGCGAACGGCCCCCGATGTCGCAGTGGATGAGCCGCTCCCGCCCCCTGGGCCTTCAAGGGGAGGAGGAGGAGGAGGAGGAGGAGGAGGAGGAGGAGGAGGAGGATATGGAGGAGTATGGGAGGCTCGCTCGTCGAACGGGCTCCACGCCCTGGGGTTTCGGGAAGCTTAGCGAGGCCGCCGGCGCGCCAGCGAAGGCGCCTCGCCCAAAGGACTACCGGCGCGCCGTCAGCGGTCGCTACGGGATCCGGACGCCTCCGTGCCAGAAGCGCTGGGGGTCGACCACGCCCTCCTTCATCTCCCCTCCTCCTCCCTCCCTCTCATCTCCTCTGCCTCCCTCCCTTCCTCCCCTCGCCACCCTCCCTCCCTCCCCCCTCCCCTCCCCCGTCCCTGTCCTCCCTCCATCCCTCCCTCCCTCCTCCCAGTCTCCTTCTCCTCCTCCTCCTCCTCCTCCTCCTCCTCCTCCTCCTCAGAGCCACGGGGAACGAAGGGCGCAGCAGAACGGTGGCTCCCGGACGTCTGGGATCTTGAAAGAGGCAGGCAAGCGTGGCCCCTCGATTGGGTGGAGGAGGTCACCCGTGTTTTCCAGGCGGCCGCCCTCGCGGGCCTCCATCTCGTCTTGCCGCCATGGGGCGCGCCCGACCTCCAGCGTCGCCACGCGCACGAGTTTTGCGAAGGAGCCAGGGGCAGAGGCGACCAGGGACGCCGCGACTGCCATCGCCACATTGCCGCGCTCGCGGGCCATGCGCTGAACCGCGCAATCCCAGCAGATAAACGACACACGCCGCGATGCTATGAACGCGCACTTGGACTGCCTTGATCCTCCACCAGGGCACCAAGGCCTGCCCTCTTCCACTGCGGTCCACCTGCCGCCCGCTGCGCCACCCTGCCCACCCGACGACGGTGCGCCGCGCCCTGAAGCGGCGTCCTCGCACGGGCCAGCCCCGCGGCAGCGACATGACCGCACGGCCATGTTCTCCATCGACGGGCACCGCTGGTTCAGCCAGGTCGACCCCTTCGCCGGCGACGGCGGTTTTCACGACTTCAACGTCCGAGGGCCCGACGATCCGCCCGGCCACCCACGCGGCCTCCCCATCGACGCCCCGCCAGGCGTTGACCCCAAGGTGCCAGCTCACTTCGGCCCCCCGTCGCCCCCACGACGACGCGGCATGCCCGGCTCAGCTGCGGCGTGGGGGAGACAGCAGTGATGTTTCTATGGTCGGCGCCAGCGACATCTCGACGATGGGCGGCGACCTGCCCCCGACGACCCCGGGGCCACGCCGCCCACAGCGGCCAACGACCGCCCGTCGCCACGTCACCCTTCGGCCACGCCGCCTCCCAGGCTCAGCCTCGGAAGTCGGAGTGGGCTGTGGCCTGACGCTACACCGCGCTGCGATGGCCAGGGGCACACCAGCCCCCAGGCGATCGATTCCTGACCCCGGACTCGGGGCCGCCCCAGATGGCACGCGTTCAAGAGTCCGCCGAGAAGGCGGGCCTGGCCGCCGAGGGCGCCCCTCCCACCTCCCACGGCGCCGCGGCCAGCGCGGCGACGGGCTTCTCCGGGCCATCCGCGCCCGATTCTCGAAACCGCCGCAGAGGCCCCCCCACGGACCCCGACCCACCAGTGGCACCGGGCGGGCCTCCGCGGACGGCGCCAGCCACCGCCGGCACCGCGGCCTCGTCGGCGCAGCCCGTTGCCGCCGCTGGCCCAGACGAGGCATCTCCAGACCCCGAGGGCGCGAGACGGTCGCGCTCAACGGGCCCTTGCCGCCGCCGCCGTGCGTCAATCTCCCGCACGGGTACTGCCTACTGCCTGTGGAGTCTCGGCGGTGACGCTCGGCTGCCTGCCGCCGATCCCCACCATTCCCCCCGACAGTTGGCCGACTGCAGAGGTGTCGTCGTGCTCTCGCGCCAGCTCGACGACGACCCGCCGCCCGACAGCAGCGCGGCGCCTCCTGACCGCCCCCCGTGGTGGGCCTTTGCCTGCCTCGCCCTCTGGTCCTTCGCCACGAGGACCCAGGCCGCTCCAGGTGCGCCCCGCATCCTCCGGGGCCCCCCTCCCGCTCGGCCTGTGGCCGAGCGCTGGGGAGCCTCGCCCGCGGCGCGCGCGGCCCGACGCGCCGCTCGGACGGCCGCGCTGGCCCCCCCCCCCTCCCCGCCAGAGGAGCAGGCCGTGCCGGGCCACAGCTCGGCCTTCGGCCGACCGCTCGACGCGGCTCGGGCCACGGCTCGAGCGGCGCCGCGGCGCCTCGCCGCGCGGAGCGCGAGCGTCGCGCAGCCGTGCAGCGCCAGGCCTCACTCGCCCCCCTCGACTGCGAGCGTCTCCGCCTCCGTCGCGGACGCCCCCCACGTGGCCCCCGAGCGCTTCTCGCGCCGGAGGCGCCGGCGTTAACCTCCCCGTCGGGGCCCACTGCGCCGCTCGGCAGGCGCCCAGTGCGGCCACGCGCCGCTGCGGGTCTGGACCTCCTCCTCCTCCTCCTCCTCCTCCTCCTCCTCCTCCTCCTCCTCCTCCTCCTCCTCCTCCTCCCGCTGTCGGCGAGGTGCGGTCATGCCAACGACGGGCGCAGGCTTCGCTTTACTTTGCGGGTGAGGCTCGGACGTCTGCGAGGCGGCGTCACGGCACACCGCCTGCTCGCTGCTGGGGGGGCCTCCCCCCCCCTCGCCCCCTCCTCCCCCTCCTCTCCGCTGGCCGACCGGCCAAGACGGGTGCGTAGAGCCTTTTAGCCGACTCGCGCCGGTCAAGGTGCGTGGTGCACCCCGCCGCTTGCCGCGGGGCGCCCGGGCGCTGCTGCGCCAGTCGGTCTGGTCTCTCTCTCTCTCTCTCTTTCTCTTTTTTTTGTTCTCCTCTCTCTCTCTCTCCCTCTTTGACTTGCCGTCTCGCAGTTGTTGGCTCTCTTGTGTTGTGTTGTTCTTTCTCTCTCTCTCTCTCTCTTTCTCCCTCTCCGTCTGAGTGTGTATGTGTGTGTGTGTGTGTCTCTCTTTCTCTCTCTCGCTCTCTCCCTCTCTCTTTCTCTCTCTCTCTCTCTCTCTCTTTCCTCGCGCTGGTCGTGTGGACCGCGAGCCCCAACCACGTCTGGAGGTTGCCAGTGTCGCCGCGAAGCTCGTGGAGCAGCAGTTTAGCGACACGCTCAAGGAGCTTCCTCTGCGCCCTGCTCTCTTCAATTGCTTCCTCGAGGGGGGATCGCGACCGTGGGGGAAGACTTGGGGCATGAGAGCAGGATGAGGAGGAGGAGGAGGAGGAGGAGGTGAGAGAAGGGGTGGGAGGAGAACTAGGAAAGGGTGGGAAGGATATAACGTGAAAAGATGACAGGAGGCGGGGGGGGACGGGCTGAGCCGAGAACGGCGCAGGGTAGGAACGGATATAATCGAACAGGAGATGCGGGGAAGGAGTGCACGGGTCACGTGACGGCAGCGGGAAAGAGCATCTCAGAGAGTGCATTACCTACCCCGCTTTCGCTTCCAGGCAAAACCAAGTCATACCACGCGCCTCCTCGTCAAGCGGCCTGACCAGTACAGGCCGTAGTTTGGCATCGTTTGGTATCTCTTGGAAGCGAGGGTGGTCAAAAGCGAGGTATGTTTGTTTTCCCCCTAGCATCAGTAGCAGGACGAGGGAGACAGGGAAACACCCGCACGAACGGAAAAACAAGTCGGGTGAGACGGCCCGAAGGCGCTTCGAAGTGCATGCCACCTGAAGCCGAGCCCACAGCCGAAGTGCACACAAAAAAAAGGGAGAGGCTCACCCTGCAGGCTCGGCGGTCAACAGCACACTGTGGCGCGGTGCTGCAGCATCACCTGGCCCCCCCCCCTGGAACAGCAGCCGGACAAGTCGAGTTCGCAGCCCCGTGCCTTGCCGAACTCCAGGCGCCGCCGAGCCGTGTGCACGGGGAGCAGGCGTCCGAGCGACGGCAGGGGCACGGGGCTCCGGGGCTCTGCGCCGCTCCTGCCTGCCTGTCTTGCCCCTCCTCCTCCACCTCCTCCTCCTCCTCCTTCTCCTCCTCCTCCTCCTCCTCCTCTTCATCCGCCTCCTCCTCCCTTCTCCCTCTTCCCTCTTCCCTCCTCTCTCCTACCTCCTCCCTCCTCCCCCCCTCCTCCTCCTCCCTCCCTCCCTCGCCTCTCCTCCTCTTCCTCCTCCTCCTCCTCCTCCTCCTCCTCCTCCTCCTCCTCCTCCTGGGATGTCGAAGAACAGCCCCCTTCCTTAATTTACTTCGGACATGGATCTATGTATCGTTCGGTCCCTCCTCTCCCGATTTAAAGTGAGGTTTAAGGTGGGGCTGTATAGCGCTAGCTATGTCCGCTGCAATAGTGGCTCAAGGTTGCGCAGCCCCACTTGCTAGTTGCGCGACGGTGCGACTCTATCTGAATAGTTGCATCAGACAACGGCCACGTATATCAATGATCCCTCTCCCCATCTCATGGTTTATCTCTTACCTCTCGACACGCTTGCCGTTAAGGGATGAGTTGTGGGATGCCTCGGTACTTCGCCGACGTTATCCTAAGGTTCGGGTTCTTAGCTTATTACCTCATGGCCAAGCCCTCAACCCCTAGTTGTCACTCCTGCAAGATGGCTCCAGGACGGGCCCTTGGGACCCTGTTAGAACAGGTGGGAAGTTGAGTTCCCAGGAGCTTTTCCTGAGCTTCGGGAAAGGTCGAGCGGGGAATTCCAACAACGCCACGGTATCCGGGGAATTTGGGGTCAAGGAGCCTCGGCAGTATCCATCGGAAGTCCGAAAACAGGGCCGCGACCACATTGGGGTGAGTCAGTGGGGATCCCGGGTGGCCGCAGGGTTTTGGGACGTGGGTCGTTATTTGAAGATTCTTTGGGCGATTTGAGCCTCCGAGATCAAAAATCGCGCGGCGGTGATGGACCGCGCGGTGAGATGTTTCAGGATTTCGAGGCCACCGCCTGGTCCGTCACCGCGCCGTCTTGGGACTCCGAAATTACAACGTGAAGCGCTGGGTATTCAGAGGCCCATCTGCCTTCATTTCGCCCTTATCTCCTTCGCGCCCCTCCCCTTTGCCTCGCCCCGCTGGGTCAGCAGGGCTAGGCGAGGGGGGGGGGGGGGGCAGCGGCAGATGGGCGGGATAAGTCAAGCGGAGCGGAGAGGGCGAGGGAGACCGGAAAGGGCTGGTGAAGGGTGAAGGGGCCTCCCCCTTCCCGTGCCTCGTCTCCGCCCACTCCTCCCCTCGATGTCTCGTCGCGCCCCGTGGCGTCCCCTTGTCCCCTTCCCCCTCCCTCCTGTCAGGTCATCGCGCTGACTTCTCCTCCTGCTTTCGTTTTCACCTCTGCTTTTCACGGCTTGGGCGTTTTTAGCTTGCGCACACGCACACACACACACACACGCACACGCACACGCACACGCACACGCACACGCACGCACACACGCACACACGCACACACGCACACATACACACACACACACACTCACACACACACACACACACCGCTCTCCCCCTCCCGCCAAGAGGGGCCTACGGACGACCCGAGGGAGGGAGCGGAGCCGCTCGTGTCCAGGGCTGCTCCTGGCGTCGCGGACGAGCGGGGCGGCGGTGCCGCGGTGGCGCGTCTGCGGGGCGCCGGGTGCGCCGCCTCCGGGCCTCCGAGCCGCCGCCTGCCCCCCGAGCCGCCGGGGCGGGCCGCGGGCGCTGCGGGCGGCCCGCCCTCCGCGGCAGGCGGCGGCGGCGGTCTGCCGGGCCGCGGGCCGAAGCCGCCGCCGTGCATGCATCCTCGCCGGAGTTCAGGAGGGGGAAAGAGCACACACAGACACAACGAATCGTCGATTCCCCAGGAGATATGGGAAGTGGGGGGGGAAGACAAAAAAAAACCAGAATAGATGGGGAGAGATGGGGAATCCGGTCACCTGTGTCTATTTGCTTGTGTGTGTCCCAGTTTCCCTTCAGAAGTGCTCTGGGGCGGCGCCGCTGGTCGCAGCTGCAGGGGGCCACGCGCGAACCCTGCCCCCTACCCCCCAGGATTTCCGAGGGGGAGGGTGGGGCTTTCGCTTCGCTCGGGAGCTCCCGAGCGACGTGAAAACCCCGCCCTCCTCCTTCGGAAATCCTGGGGGGTAGGGGGCAGGGTTCGCGCGTGGCCCCCCTACAGTCGGGGCGCTGAATAAGGAACCCTTTTCGTTGGGGAGGGGCTCGGTGTTCCTTGATTGTTTTGCAGTTTGCCTTGGATTTTCCTGAGGTTCTCCCTGGGAAGTCGAAGTTTAACAGATGGGAAAAGGGGGCCTCGTTCCTTATTTGGGGTTCCTTAGGTCAGCGCCCCGACTGTACAGCTGCGCCCTCTCCGAAGTGCTCTGGGGCGGCACCGCTGGCCGCAGCGTGGCCCCCCTACCTCCTGGCATCGCTCGGACGTGTGCATTTTTCCTTCGGCGAGGACCATCGAGGAGCATCCTTGATCATTTGGCGAAAAAACAGCGCACGAAACCGAACAAAAAAGCACAGGGAATGGACGTCCGAGCGATGGCGAGACCTGTGCCCTCTCCGGAGTGCTCTGGGGCGGCACCGCTGGCCGCAGCTGGCGGCAGCCGGTCCTGCGGGGGAGCGCGCTCCGCGTCGGCGCCCTCCGCGGGCGCCGGCGCCCGGAGAGCGCGCCGAGGCGCACTTCGTCGTCACGAGGAGGGAGGAGGGAGGAGGGAGGAGGGAGGAGAGTGGTGGAGGGAGGAGGGGGAGGAGAGGAGGAGGTGGAGGGAGGAGGGAGGAGGAGGAGGGAGGATGGAGGAGGGAGAGAGGAGGGAGGAGGAGGGAGGAGGAGGAGGAGGAGGAGGAGGAGGAGGAGGAGGGGAGGAGGGAGGAGGAGGGAGGAGGAGAGGAGGGAGGAGGGAGAGGACAGGAGGGAGTCGTCGCCTTCGGATCTGACCGCCACACGGAGTGCTCGTGGGTTTGTCACGGGAGGCCCATACTCAGGAGGGGAAGAAACACACAGACACAAGTAATCGTCAATTCCCCAGAAAATATGGGAAAATGTGGGAAGTGGGGGGAAGACAAAAACCCAAAACGAATTGGAAAATATGGGGAACTGCTTTATCTGTGTGTATTTATCTGTGCGTCCTGGGGCCCCTTCACATGCGGCCCTCCACGGACCAGCGGAAGTCGGCGGGACCAGCCGCGGCCACGAGTGACAGTTTGACGATACTGATTTCGTCGTCACCCCACTGCTCAATTGTCGGGGGTGGACAGAACCCCCAACAGTGACACGTCGATTAGTGAATTGTCCGTTTTCGGTTCTCGAGAGGGCGCCGCGGCCGTCATTTTCCAGGCTTGCGCCCGCCAGGTTTGGGCCTCAGGTCGTTTTCACTAAACCACGTTTTACTAAAGGGAGGTCTGTCCATCCCCGAAATTGATCTTCCGCTCCCATCTTTTTTCTCCCTCCCCCTTGTTATCCCTCTCCTCGATTCCTGCTCCTCCCCTCCCGCCCCCCCTTCTCCCTCCCCCTCCCGCTCCCTTCGCATCCCCCTCCGTCTTCCGCATTTCCCTCCTCCCTCGCCCTCTCCTGGACCTCTCCTCATTCACCCCGTTCGCCCTGGACAGAGGAGATGAAAACTGGGGGTGCCCACCTGGTGAGCGTAGTCGGGAACATGAGCTTGAATTTCGGCAGCAGACCACCAGAGATCCGCAGGCCTGCGGGAGCGCTGCAATATGAGATCGGGAGCGAGCAGGAGGAGTCCGAGGAAACGGAGGAAGACAACATTGCCCGAATCCCGACCAGCCGACCGACCAAGGAGGAGGAGGAGACGGAGGAGAAGGATGAGGAGGGCAGAACCTGGGGGGAACGGAGGCCGAGGATGGAGAACGGCGGGGGTATACGGCGGGGGTGGAGGGAGGAGGGAGGAGGTGAGCGAAGGAGGCTTGCCCACCGCCCAGCACGTTCTGGAGGACCTCGGCCTGCAGCTGCAGGCCCCGAAAAGCGCAGGCCCGGCCCGAGGGCAGGGCCTGCCCCCCGGGCCTAGAGGATTACTGCAGCCATGGCGACCGCAGGGCATGCTGGCGGGCGCGCCGCTGGCTGCAGCGACCGCCCGGCGACGTCCCGGACGCGGGGGGCGAGCGCCGGGTGTGGGGCGGGTGGCAGAAAGGGGGGTCACCCAAACGGGAGGCGAGGAGAAGGGCCTCAAAGGGGCCCCGCAGGGCCCCTTTTGGAGACTGCAGGGGCCCCCGAGGGCCCCTTTGTGGCCCTCTTGCCCCCTCCCCCCCCCCCTTACTACCACCCGCTCGAGGGTGGCGCTGGGGACGCAGCAGGGCTATCGAAGACGCGTGGCGGCGCATTCACAGCGAGTGCTGGGACCGGCGGGCGCGGCGCTGCCAGAGCTGCGACGCTCGGAGCACGGGATTGCGGCGATGGCGGCCAGGCCGTCGTGCCCCGCAGAGAGGACGCCATCTTCGACACTGAGGCGCAGCCTGCCGGCGCTCCAGCACCGCGACAGTCGGGCGCGCAGTGCTCGGGGATGGAGCGGGGCAGGCCCTGGACGCACGCCGCGGCGGTGCGTGGCGGCAGCGAGGCCGCGGTGCCCCGACAGTGCCCGTGCCCCCTGCTTTGGCCCTGAAGACGGGCGGGTGGCACGGTGAGGCCCCCTTGGCGCCATCTCTCCGCCAGCGGGCGCGCGTCCGGGCCCAGCTGGTGGAGGACGAAGCCATGAATCCTAAAGCAACGCTCACCATGCCCGCCCCGTCCCAGGTGCGTCTTTGGTCACTCTCGGGGGCCCCGGGGGGCCCCCGCAGGTCGGGGGCGTCCGAGAGGGGGCTGCGCAGCTCATGGCCCGAGGCACGGGCGCGGCCCCGGGGGGGGGGGGAGACCTGGGGAGCGCGTTGGAACAAGGAGGGAAGGGCCCACGAAAGCCCGCGGCCATGCGCACAGCAACGGCGCAACAGTCCCGCTGCAGCGCGGGGTGCCCTGCGAGGCACGGGCACGGGTTGAGTCCCTTGGCATCGCTCGGGCGTGTGCACTGTTCCTTCGGCGAGGACCATCGAGGAGCATCCTTGATCATTTCGCGAAAAAACCACGCACGAAACCGAAAAAAAACACAGGAAATGGACGTCCGAGCGATGGCCAGGTCCGCATTGCGAGGTGATGTGCAGCTTGTCGCCGGGAAGGGACCGAAGCTCGGGACAGTGCCGTGAGGGCGAGGGGGTTCAGCACGGCCGCGGCTGGCTGCCATCGCAAGGAGCAGGAGTGGGATGCGTGCGGAGGGGTTGGGCGGCGGACGAGTGCCGAGGAGGGCGAAGGATGCAGAGGAGGAGGAGGAACAGGAAGTACAACGGAAGTGGGAAGAGGGGAAGGAAAGGGGTGCACTGCGCTCAGTCCTAGAACTGAACCACCGCACAGTCTGCGTGTTGCCCATCATCCAGTATTTCTGTGGCTGTTCGTGCATGTCCCCCGGATGCGGGCATCGGGGGCCCGCCATGTGGGGGCCACGCCCAGCATCCAACATCACACCCTCTGGAGTGAAGGTGCGGGTCGGCGAGCGGTTGCAGTGACGATCGGTTCCGCGTGGTATCATGGTATTCCCCCTCCTTGGAGATGTGGTACCTCTCAGGTGAAAGGGGATGTACACCCTAGGCGATGCTTAAGAAAACTTGAGTTTTCGGCCAGAGTCTCGATTATTCTTAATGTTTCAATGTAAATCCTATGATTCTAATCGAAGTTCTGGGTTTTTATTCAAATTCTGAGACTATGAATTTCTTAACCCATGATTTCTTAAGCATTTCGCAGGGTGTACGGAACATCATCACTTCGTGTATTCAATGGAACGCCCCCGAGGGGGCAGGCACCGCCCATCGCTTCGCTTATGTGAAGTGGGGCGGACTCCGATGGGAGCGGGCACCGCCGCCCACACATGCTCGGGGCCCGGTCGGGGTTCTGGTCGGGGAGGATAGTGCTCGCACACGAAGGGAAGCAGGAGGGAACGCAGGAAGACCTGGAGGTGATGCGGAGGAGACCGGGGGAGGACGAGGTGCTGGCAGGACGGAGGAGGCCCAAGAGGGGCGGGCGGAAGCAGAGGCGGGACTCGTAGATGTGGCAAGGGCGGTTGAAGGTCCACATGAGGAAAAGAGGAGAGAGAGCCGGAGGAGGAGAACGAGGAGGAGCACGAGGATGGAGAGGAGGGGTGGTTGAGGAGGAGGACGAGGAGGAGGAGGAGGAGGAGGAGGAGGAGGAGGAGGAGGAATGACAGGAGGATCGGCAGCAGTTGGAGGAGGAGGTTGACGAGGAGGAGGGGGAGGGAAGGCAAGAGAGGTGTGAGGAGGGTGATGTGGTGATGATGATGAATTTGTGAGGGGAATGGGAAGGAAACGGGCGCAGAGGATGAGGTGAATCAGGGGTTCGGGCGGGTGCAGGTGGATATTCAGAAGGATGAGGTGGAAAAAGAGGAGGCGGAGGAGGCGAATGAGGAGGATGGGGATGAGGGCGGTGTCGACGACCAGGTCGCCTACGACGGCGACGACGACCACGACAACATGGACGACGAAAGCGACGACTGCGAAGACCTCGATGCAAAAGTGGCCACGTGGGATGACAGCCTTCGGGAGGCATGACACAAGCGGAAGGGGGCCACGCAAAGAGGCATCCGATACGGCCCCCTGAGGATCGGCAAGGGACACGGCGCAGGGCGTGGCCAGCAGCATGGGCAGTCGCGGACCCGGCCACGATCTGCGGAGGACGCGCGGGGCAGCCACGAGGGGCCCCTGAGGCCCGAGGCGCAGGGCAGCCCGTCCGGCCGCGCGGGCCAGGGGCCGCCGCGCGGGGGCAGCCTCGCGAGGCCGAAGAGGGCGGTCGCCCGCCGAGGCGGAGGGAAGGCGCGGGCGCCCTGGGCGCGCGAGCGACGGGCGGCGGCAGGGCCGGGTCCCCCCCCCCCCCCTTCCAGCGCGGGCGGGAGCCCGCGAGGTGGGCCCCGTGGCTCGCGAAACGCGCGCGGCGCGGCGGCGAGCCCCAGGGCACGCGGGGGGCAGGCGGCACGGGCAGACAGGCTGCCGGGCCGCGAGGTCGCGCCTCGAGGATGAGGCGCCGCGGTCCGCGCGAGATCAACGGGACTTCCTCTTCATCATCTGAGGGGGAGGAGAAGGAGGAGGAGGAGGAGGAGGAGGAGGAGGAGGAGGAGGAGGAGGAGGAGGAGGAGGAGGAGGACCAGTGCAAACCCAAGAGCCATCAACGACGTTGAAATACACCCTCCCTCCAAGCTCCCCCTGCATAGGCCCCCACAGCTGTTCATTTCCATTGTGGGAGATGCCTCGTTGGAAGACATCCGCTAGAAGACCAGGAAGTATGCCAGAACAGTGTTCTCGGGGTTCCAACGCCACGGATCAACCTCGCTGTTGCGTCTTGACGATCCTGGATCGTGCCAGAAAGCCATTCTTGGGATTTCAAAAAACCGCGATTCAACGTAATGGTTGCACCCGCAACATCTTGAATCTTTTCAGAACACATATGTTTGGTGCGTTGATCGTGGGAACCCGTGGAACTCTTGCACATGTTACGATCGAATTTGCGCGGCGTTAAGGTGATAACCACATTTTGACAAAAAGGGCCGCCTTCCATCCGTGAGTCTCTTCTTGTATTTTTTGTATAACGAGTGTGCGCGGCGCGAAAGCGAGAGCCACACTTTGAAAACGGATGATCCTCAATCCGTGAAGCTCTTGCACATTTTAAAGGGCGCAAAAGCAAAAACCACATTTTGAAAACGGGTGTTTCTCAATCCGCGGAGGTCTGGCGAGTTTTTAGAACGATTGTGCGCGGCGCTACGGCGAGAGCCGCATTTTGAAAACGACCCATCCTTCATCTGTGAAGCTGTTGCCAACTCAAGCTTCAGAGTCATAAGTGGTGATCAAGTCTCAGGCGACATGCCTGGCCCGCCATGAAACCTGGCCTCGGGGTGCGACAGGAAGAGGAGGAGGAAGAGGAGGAGGAGGAGGAGGAGGAGGAAAAGGAGGAGGAGGAGGAGGAGGAAGAGGAGGAGGAGGAGGAGGAGGAGGAAGTGAGGCGGCCTGAGAGGCAAACCGCTTCTTCTGTGGCCCTCTGGGCTCAAAGTCCCATGTGGGGCCATGCTTTTTGGGCCCCTACTCACCCGCGCCTTTGAGGTGGGGCCTCCAGGGGCGTTTTCTTTCGGCCTCACAGCGGGCGCGGGAGGCCGCGACGCGCTTGTCAGCATTGCTGGTCGGCGCGCACCGTCTCCCCGGGCCCTGGCAGACAGGCCGTCGTGCCGCGGGGGGCAGGCGGCCCGGGCAGACAGGCTGCCGGGCCGCGAGCTCGCGCCTCAGAGGATGAGGCGCCGTGGTCCGCGTGAACGGAGCCTCCTCATCATCATCTGAAAAGGAGGGGGGGGAGGAGGAGGAGGAGGAGGAGGAGGAGGAGGAGGAGGAGGAGGAGGAGGAGGAGGAGGAGGTGGAGGAGGAGGAGGAGGGAGGAGGAGGAGGAGGAGGAGGAGGAGGAGGAGGGGCGGCCTGCGAGGTAAGGCCCTTCGAGGGCCTAGTGCCTCGATCCGTCGTCGTCATGAGGCGGGGCGAGAGAAGCAACACCCGATCTTGGCGCGAGCAGGCCGCTGTGAAGTTCCCCCCTTTCCGCCCCCCCCTCTCATGTGCGAATGCCCGCTGGTGGCGCTGCAGACTGTCCTGTCCTGGAATGCGCCTCGCGGGGGCGAGGCCGCCGGTTCGGCGGGCCCGAGTGGACGTCGTCACTTTGCTAACGTTCTTTTTTGGGGGGCTTGCGCCTATCGGAGGAGGAGGAGGAGGAGGAGGAGGAGGAGGTGGCATCTCGATTGTTTTTTGTTTGTCTTGGGGCAATACCAGCCCGCCTGACGCCGTCGGAAGCCGTCTTGGGGGGCCTCTCTGGGCCAACCTGGCGCCTTCGCGGGGTGCCCCAAGACCGTTCTGGCAACCGTTTCGGGCATTTTGGGGGCCCCATTGGGCCGTTGTGGGGCCGTTTTAAAAAACCTCTCGGGCGATCTTGGGGCGATCTTGAGAGGTTCCTGGGCCGCCCCGGGCCGCCGGAGGGCCGAAAAGAGGCGCGTGCCAAAATCCTGCAGAAACCTACGGGGAATCAGCGAGTCTGGCCTCTCCGGGCCTTCCTGGAGGCCCTCTTGAGGGCCTCCCGGGCCGTCTTGGGGACCTCCTAAGGGGCCCTCTTGGGCCGTCTTGGGCCATCTTGTATGCATGTGTGTTTTAAAGAGATCACCACCTATGTTTGTTCGTGTTGCTTGCACATACTCCTCCTCCTCCTCCTCCTCCGCCTCCTCCTCCTCCTCCTCCTCCTCCTCCTCCTCCTCCTCCTCCTCCTCCTCTTCCTCCTCCTCCTCCTCCGAGCCTCCTCATCCTCCTTCTCTTCCTCCTCCTCTTCCTTCTGCTCCACTTTTTCCTCCTCGTCCTCCTCATGAGCATCCTCTTCCTCTTCCTTCTTCTCCTCCTTTTGATTTTCTTCGCCATCTCCCCCCAAGTGTTCCACAAATGGTTTCCACAACGCTCGGCCTCATGGGCGATTTCATCTGGCAGGGGGCGGCGGTGATTCGCCATTGGTTTCTTCGTTTTTTGTTGTGGCACCCCTGTGGCAAGACCACGGGGGACGGCGGATCTACTGGCCTTCGGGCCTTCGGCCCATCCCGCCACCGTGCTTGGGTTGTGGGTCGGAGTTCTCGGATATGCTTCTCGGTGTCTTATCGGAGCGTTATTGGGGGGCTTCTGGAGGGGCAATTGAGGGGGTCTCTTCGGAACCTCTTGGGGGCCTCTCGGGAACCTTTGGGTGGCCCCTTTCGGGTTTCTCGGGGGCCTCTCAGGGCCTCGTCGGGGCCTCTCGGGGCCTCTCGGGGCCGAGGGCTCGACATGTCCGTTCGGTTTCCCCGTCTGGGCCCCCTCTTGGAGCCGTCTTGGGGGCCTCCTGCGCCGTCATGGAGGCCTCTTGCGGCGCTCTTGGGCTGTTTGGGGGCCCTATTGGAGACCTTTTGGACCGTTTGGGGGCGATTTGGGGGCCCTCTTTGGGCCTTCTTGGACCGTCGGGAAGCCGAAAAGGTGAGAACTCACAAATACGTCAAACATCCAAGGAGAATCGATTAATTATCTTTCTTGGGGCCCTCTGGAGCTTCTTGTGGGCCTTTTGGGCCGTCCGGAGTCCATCTTGAGCGTCCTGGACCGATCTTTCGGCGACTTGGGGCCCTCTTGGACCGTATTGGGGGCCTCTGGGGGCTCTTTTGGCTTGTCTTTGGGCTCTTTGGGGTCCCGAAAACAATCATACGACAAGACGCGAGCAGCCTGGGGAGGCACACCGGGAACCCCAGGACTTTTGGGTCTGGGCCCTTTACGAATTTGTTTCCCTGAGGACAGGACTACAAAAGACCAGAGGACACGCCCAGTCCGTGCAGACGCACGGTGGCGGCACGTGGCGGATCAATGTATCCCAGGTTTCCCGTCTTATTTCTTCCTCTTTTCACCATATCCTAAGACGGGGTTCTTGTTATTACTTGTACGCCTCCTACTCCTCCTTCCTCTTCTTCTCCTTCTCCTCCTCATCCTCCCTCTCCTCCTCATACCTAGATTTACTCATACACAGACTTACTCATACACAGACTTACTCATATCCAGACCTGATCATATTAACCTATTCATACTCAGACCTACTCATCCTCATATCTATTCATATTCAGATTTACGCATGCTGAGATTCACTCATACCCAGACTTACTCATACTCAGAACTTCCCATTGTCTGACTTACTCAACACACAGCAGATTGTGAGGATGTCTCAGGAAGGGCGCTGGTTTCAGCACCCTTAAGGGAAGCCGCCAAGGGGTATGATACGGTCCCGTTCGCTGCCGTTTTGTGGGGATGTCTCAAGCGGTTTGCTTGTTTTCTGTCCCAGCGTCTTTCGCTTGGAGAGCAGATTGTGAGGATGTTTCAGGCGGGGCGCTAGTGTCAGCGCCCCTAAGGGGAGCCGCCGAGGGGTATGACACGGTCCCGTTCGCGGCCGTTGGGACGTCTCAAGCGGTTTGCCTGTTTTCTGTCTCGACGTCCTTCGCTTGGAGAGCAGATTGTGAGGATGTCTCAGGCGGGGGAGCCGCCAAGGGTGCTTTCACGGCTCCGTTCGTCGCCGTTCTGTGGGGATGTCTTTGGCGGTTTGTTTTTTTTGTGTTTTTGCGTTGTGTCCCGAGTGGCTCTCCCCGTTGCGTACGGCGGTCAAGGAGGAGTGACGAGGTGTTGCTGGTGCAGAGCTTGTGTCACCGTGGGATGTTACTTTCTCTCTCCGTGGTGCTTTCCAATCTTGTAGTCGTCAGCGGGAGAGGGAACTTGAGAAGGTTCATTCTCCCGCGTGCGTTTTGGGCTAGGGAGGGAACTTAAAAGGGTTCTGCGGGAGAGGGAACTTGAAAAGGTTCACTTTGCCGCTTGTGGTCGAACTGGAGAGGGAACTTGGAAAGGTTCACTCTCCAGACAGGGACAGGGAACTTGAAGTGGTGCACTCTCTTTCGTGTTGTCGGACTGAAGGGGGAATCCAATTTTACATGTTGAGAAGCAGGACGCACATAAAGGGGAGCTCCACGCAGTGAGTCATGTCTCTCCTCTCCCATACCCGTTTCTGTAACTCGACTTTGAACCTCTTTCCTTCCCCATTGCTCACGCTCCTCAGTTTTTCTTTTCGGGGGAGCAAGAGGTGGAAGGGATCTTTGGAGGAGCGCACGCTCTCCCCCTGTCTTCCGGGAGGCTTCTCAGTTGCCGCAAGATCTCCCTCGCTGACGAGGAGGGCGTCGAGATCTGTTGCCACCTTCACTGGCGAGCTGAGGCTTCAATCACCACTACTTCATCATTGCCCTGCCCGCTCCCCTTCCCATAATTTCACCTCCCCCTTCCATCCTTCTTTCCGCCTCCGCCATTGCATCCCGCTTCCCCCCTCCCCTTGAGCTTGCCCTTGTCCGTCCTCGTCCCCCTCTGGGGGGGCCCTCCCCTCCCCCTCCTCTTTCTATCCTTTTTCCCCTTTCTGTTCCACTCCCACCCCCCTCCCCGTCTTCCCTGTCCTCCCTGCCCTGCATTCTGCCGCCGCGTCCCGTCTCGCCCTGCCCCGCTCCGCCGTGCCAAGTCCTGTCTGCGCCATGGCTCCAGCCCCCACACCCCCCCCCCTATGTGCATTCATCCCTCTCGCTCCCCCTACTGCGCCCTTTCTCTTCCCCATCCTCTCCCGCCTGCTGCTCCTTCCGCATGCACCTTTTTCGCGGTCCCATTTTTCCACACCGTGCCTCGATCCGCTCCCTGTGCGCAATCCGTAAGGCTATGCGACAGGGGACTATGCGAACGTCCGAGTCGGACCAGGGCACGTGGGCCGTTCCGGGAAGGCCCCCCTCGTCGAGGGAACGAGGGGTGGGCGGACCTCTTCCTCTCGGCGGAGGCTGGCGCAAGGTGCGCCGAGCGAAGCCAGGAGAAGCAACACGACCGTGGTTTCGCTAGCGGGTGCAAGCGGAAAGAAGCGTCGGCCAGCCAAGAGAGGCCGATGCCAGCGCCAGGCGGGCTTCAGAGTCAGACTGTGGCAGGACCCGGAGAAAGGGCAACCAGAGTTCGATCCAGTCAGCACGTTCGGGTGGTGGGTGCCGCGAGGAGGGCGACAGGGACGGTGGGTTCGTGCCGCTTCGGCGCGGCGGCAGCGCGGGCGCGGGCGGTCAAGGTGAAAAGGCACAGTGTCTTCTGAGGTCCCCCGACAGGGGAGGCCTTTCAACTTCGGTAGGCCTACGCGGTGGCAGAAGCCGGAGCCCACGCCGGCAAGGCAGGAATCTGGCGCATAGCACATGATGGCCACAGGAGGCAGAAGCCAGGTACGTTTCCTGGACGTGCGTGGTGACTCTGTATCTCTCTCTCTCTCTCCCTCTTTTTTATCCCTCTCTCTCTCTCTCTCCCTCTTTTTGTATCCCTCTCTCTATCTCTCGGGGGGGCGGGGGGGGGGGGGGAAGGTCGCGCGCACAGAGGGCCCCACGAGGCCCCGGCAGGGGTCGGCTCCCGGCGGGGCCCGCTCCTGCGAAGCCACCACGGGGTGAGGCAGAGCGAACCGCCGACGGCGGCTGGGAGAGGGAAAACCTCCCCCTCCTCCTCCCCCCTCCTCCCTCCTCCTCCTCCTCCCCTCCTCCTCCCCTCATCCTCCTCCTCCTCCTCCTCCTCCTCCTCCTCCTCCTCCTCCTCCTCCTCCTCCTCCTCCTCCTCCTCCTCCTCCCCTCCTCCCCTCACCCTCCTCCTCATGCTCCTCCTCCTCCTCATCCTCCTCATCGTCGTCGTCCCCTCCTGTAGGGCGAGGAGGGGAAAGCGCAGGCGACATGCAGGGGTGGCCGGGCGGAGGGGGGAGGAAGGGAAGACGGGGGGATGCGGGGGGGCGGGCATCACACCGTCGCGGCGGCGGGCGTGGTCGCACGGAAGGTTTGCGCGGTGGTCGGTGGTCGCGGCGGTGGCGGTCGTGGTCGCAGTCGTGGTCCTCGTAGTGCGCAGTGGTGGTTGGGGTCGTTTCAGCGGTCGTCGGTCGTGGCAGTCGTCGGTCGTGGCAGGTTCTCTCTCTCTCTCTCTCTCTCTTCTCTCTCTCTCTCTCTCTCCCGCACGCACCCACACATGTGTATACACATGCACATAACTACCTATACGACCACCCTTCGGGTGATAAGGAGGTGACGGGGGGAGGAGGAACCAAGGTCTCACTCAATCGATCTCACTATCGGTCACACTATCGAGTTCACAATCGATCTCACTCGATCGATCTCACTATCGATCTCACTCGATCGATGTCACTATCGATCCCACTATCGATCTCACTATCGATCTCACTCGATCGATATCACTATCGATCCCACTATCGATCTCACTCGATCGATCTCAATATCGATCCCACTATCGATCGATCTCACTATCGATCTCACTGTCGATCTCGAGATCGGTCTCAATATCGATATCCCTATCGATCCCACGATCGATCTCACTATTAACCTTACTATCGATCTCACCCGATCGATCTCACTATCGATCTCACTCGATCGGTTTCACTGTCGATCTCACTATCGATCTCACTCGATCGATCTCACTATCGATCCCACTATCGATCTCACTCGATCGAGCTTGCTATCGATCCCACAATCGATCTCACTATCGATCTTACTCGATCGATCTCACTATCGATCTCATTATCGATCTCTCACTTTTCGTTATCGGTCTCACTATCGATCTCGATATATCGATATCACTGTCGATCTCACTAGCGGGACACCGGCGGGACACCAGCGGGATACCGGCGGGACACCAGCGGGACATCAGCGGGACACCGCGCGCCACCGGTTAATCATTTGGTCCGGCCGGGGCCCAGCCACAAGCGGGACACCGGCGGGACACCAGCGGTACACAGGCGGGATCCCACCGCGCGCCACCGGTACGGGCGGAGACTTTGTTGGTCTGGCCGCGGCCCAGCCACGACGGGACACTGGCGGGATACTAGCGGGACACCGGCGGGACACCGGCGGGGCACCGCGCGCCACCCGTTGCCAGGCGGAGAACCTTTTGGTCCAGCCGCGGCCCAGCCACAGGAGAATTTCCTTTCCCCCGCCCACGCAGCTTCGCCTCGCCCGCACGCACGGCACGAACACGAAACCGAAATCGATTTCCCGGTAGGGGGGCTCTCCGTTCCACTTCGATCTCACCCCCTCACCTCCGATACATGTGTGTCACATGCGTAGATGCAGATGGTAGATGCTCTGACTGTCGCCGGACTAATCCAGCCGTCACGGGGTGTCTTGGGACGGTATGGGGACCCTCTCGGAATTTTCTTCGGGCCTTCCTGGGCATTTCCGCGCCTACTTCGCACCGTCGTGGGCCTCCTGGGGGCGTCCGGAGACGCTCTGAAGGCCGTCTTGGGCTGTCTTGGGGCGTTCTTGGGTTCTGAGAGTTGGCACGGCCGGCTTCGAGTCTCTCTTCGGGCCGTCCTGGCCTGCCCGGGCACTCTTGTGGCCCTCGGGGGGGGCCTCTTCAGAGTTCTTGAGCTCCCAGAGGGCCTCTCGGAGTCGTCTTCAGGGGCAAAGGCGGGGTGGCCCAAATGTAGCCTTGCTGCGGGGTGCCCAGATGCTTTTTCAGAGTATCTACTTCAGGAGGGAAAGAAACACACAGACACAATTAATCGTCGATTCCTCAGAAAATGCAGGAAAATATGGGAAGTGGGGGGGAAGACAAAACCCCAGAAAATATGGGAAAATGTGGGGAATCTTTTTATCTGTGTGTATTTATTTGTGTGTCCTGGGGCCCCCTCACTACTGGCTTCCAGCCAGCCCCGCCACCGGGCCTGGGTCGTGGACCAGAGTCCTCTTTTGGAGGCTTCCTGGGGGTCTTCGGGGAGGCCTCCTGGAGACATTTTTCTTGGGCCTTTTAGGGGGCCTCTTAGGGGGCCTCTTGGGGGAGCCTTGGAGGCCTCTGGGTGCCTCTTCGGGGTCTTGGGGGGGGGGATTTTGGGGGGGAGGCTCCGAAGGCCCTCTCGCTTTCCCCCTCTTAGGGGCCCGCTCGTTGTGGATGGGTGGGGTACTTCCTTGCGTAAAGCTTCTACGCCGCGGGCATCCCTAGCAGACGCCACGAAAGGGCAGGTCATGGCATGGCAGGGCCGGAGAGACGAGAGGCAACACGCACGGTACAGAAGGAGCAGCAAGACGAGACACCAGGCCACCACTGTCATTCGCCACCCTGCATCCGTGCACCTTCGGGCTTAGGTCTTGCTGGGGTCGACGGACCAGATTCAGCCAGAAATGCCTCGCAGATCCGCGGCTGCAGTTCGCAAGATGCTGACATCAGACCGAACAGTCTAGTGCATACTGCAGTACTGGGTTGGCGTCCCCCTTGCCACGCCGCCACTGTTTAGAATTGATATCGGCCAGCGAACCCGCGGCCATCTTGCTGACTGTTCCCCGCGCTTGTTTTTGGCATGAGTTTGCAAGCTCCGGCGCCTGGGAGCAGATGAGCGCGCTTGCGAGCGTTTGCGAGTGCCTGGTGGTGCACTTGGGGTACGTATTTGGAGGCGCCCTCGAGCGCATGGGTTGTGCCTGGGAGCGCTTGGGAGCGCCCGGGATAGCCTGGGGGCGTCTGGAAGCGTTTGGCGCTTTTCCATCGCTTGGTATTGCCTGGGAGCGCCTGCGGGCGTTTGAGAATGCGCCTGGGCTGCCTCCGCCATTTGTTTGGCAATGTCAGTGGCTGTTTTCCGTGTTTTCCCCCGCTGCCCGTTCTGTTCCGATTGGGAGTCTTTTCAATCAGCTTCGGGGCTGTTATGTCGGCTGCTGTTGATTGCTATTTTCGGAGTGGGCCGTGGAAGCGGACGCGGGCAAACCAGCAGAAAACGGACAGGGCAATGTCGCTGACAAGAGGGAGGGCAAAGTTAAGGACGAAGCCGAGGGCAAGGAAGTCACGATGGTGGCAGTTTGCAAGGAGCTCTCATCGCCAGTTTCGATTCAGGCGCACTCGGATTCGGTGTTCAGCAACCCGATGCGCAATCGAACGGGTGATTGCGAAAAAGAGGGAAACCCTCAAGTGCAAAGGCGGACGAGTACGACGGGAGTCTCATGGAGGTCCCCATGGGAAGCATCCAGATGTGATGGGCCGCGACTCGACAGGTTCCCAGTTTAAGTGTATCTATCCTGCTGGGCCGACGGGTGAGAACACACCCCAGGGACCAGCAGTTGCGATTTGGAACGTCGTGGGCTCCTGGGGTCGCGCCACATCCGACGTTAAGATGATAGTTACCTTCGTGCGTTTGACGTGGAGGCTGAGATTGATGGCGTGGAGCCGAACACGTGGATTGCGAAGGACTGGGATGTTCAGAGACGTAAGCGTGGATGGCTTTGGCAGCCGATTCAGAAGCTCAGCGATTGAGGGCGAGAGGGACGGACACCAGACTGAAGCGCTGCGACGTTACTGCTTCCTGCCCGCGCGGAAACGCCTGCAAGCGAGAACATCGGAGTGAATGGTGTTGCCGGCATCTGCTCAGCGAAGCCGCAGCGCCTCCACTGCCAGGGCGAGGAAGGCAGCGGCAAGAGGGGCAAGGGTGTCATTCGCTGCTAGCCGCCCCATCTCGCCCACCTCCGACACCTCGGCCACATGCAGCAGGGTCGATGAACAGGAAAAGAAGGAGGCGGCGGAGGCGGAGGTGGAGGAAAGAGTATGGTGAAGAGGAGGAGGAGGAGGAGGAGGAGGAGGAGGTGAAGGAGCAACGACGGGAGCAGCATGAGCAAGAAGGGCACTGTTTGTGGAGGCGTGGGGGACCGAGAGGGAGGCCAGATCTTGTGACACCTTGCCTGGGGATGCTGGACGGCTGGCCCGCGGCAGCCGCGAGGTTGAGTCGCCAGCGGTCGCGGCGCCTGCAGACGGGGCCGGCGTCCGAAAACGTCCGAAGACCTCAGTGCCGTTCTTGCAGCCAGCGCGCCGAGGGAGGGACAGTCTCTGGCCAGGCGAGCGGGCCACAGGAGCCGGCGGTGCCTGTCCCCAACCACCTCGACCGCTTTTTGGCTTGGCCAGGGTCTGCCTGCTCGAGTGCTCACTGGCCCCTCGAGCACTCGGGGGGCCGCGGGGAACGTGCCGAAGATCAGGCGGCGCCGAGGGCGGACCGTGAGGTGCAGGGCGGATGTGGAAGGGGTCTCTCTTTCTCTCCCTCTCTCTCTAGCTCTCTCTCTCGCTCGCTCTCTCTCTCTCTCTCTCTCGCTCTCTTTCTCTCTGCGCGTCCATCTCATCTGGCAGGCCAACATGACGTTGAGCGTCGGCCGTGGCATGAGCTTCGGTCTCAAGGGGTTCAGCGCTTGGGGAAGTGGGAAGGCGGCGGGGGGCTTCTTGGGGAGGAATCGGTGAGGGATACCACGTGCAGGGAGTGAAAGCGGGAGAGGATTCAGAGGAGAGGAGGTGGGGGGAGAGGGAGGGGACGAGGGGTACACACATCAAATTGAATGCAGATGCATACATATATCTATCTATATATGTTTATATATATATATATATATATATATATAATCCCGGGGGACGACCAGGGGCCCGGGACCGCGACCTCGACGGCGCATGGGGGTACTGGGCGTCGTTTTCCATATGTGTTTTTTTACAGGGTTTCGGCGACCCGGGGCCAACAGGGCCCCAAGAGGCTGCAGGGAAGCCCCAGGAGGCCGCAGCGATGGCTCGAGACGCCTTTCAAGACCACTCCCATGACGCCTTGAAGGCCCACGAAGGCCCCGAAGACGCCCCAAAAGGCACCCCGGGAGAGGCCCAATAAGCAAAAATCGTAGATTTCCGATGGGGCAACTGATATTTTGGGCGTGTTTGCCTTTTGGGCGTCCACTGCGTCCAAGACGGCCCAAGAGGCACCCAAGCCGGTCGAGGATGCCCCCAAGAGGGCCCCAAGACGGCCTACGAGGGGGCCAAACCGCTTAAGAACGCCCCAAGGCGGCCCCCAAGACGGGGACGAGAAACTGGAAATTCGGGCCTTTTGGCCCAAGAGACCCCCAGGAGACCCCAAGAGGCTCCAAGAAGGGGCCCAAGAGGCTCCCATGAGACCCGAAAAAACACAGAAAGAGGCTCCGAAGACGCCCCAAGAGGCACCCCGAGAGAGGCCCAATAAGCAAAACTCGTCGATTTCCGATGGGAAAGCTGTTATTTTGGGCGTGTTTGCCTTTTGGGCGTCCACTGCATCCAAGTCGGCCCAAGAGGCACCCAAGCCGGTCGAGGATGCCTCCAAGAGGGCCCCAAGACGGCCCACGAGGAGGCCAAGACGGCCCATGAGACGCCTAAACCGCTTAAGAACGCCCCCCGGGAGCCCAAGAGGCCTTTCCGGGGAGCCTCCACAGCGCCCCAGGAGGGCCCAAGACGCTTCCCAGGAGCACCCAGAATGCGAAAGGTTGCTCCAAGACGTTCCCAAGCAGCCCAAGTCAGCCTTCGGACGGCTCTCGAGGCTCCCAGGCGGCCTCCAAGAGACCCCAAGAGAGGTCCGAGAGGCGTTTTGGGACGGCCCGAAGAGGCCCAAATCGTCTATTCCCGCTTGTTTTTTCAATGTTTTTGGCTTCTCGCGCTTTCGAGCTTCCAATGGTCCAAGAGCGCCGAAGAGGCTCCCAAGACCACCCAAGAGACCCTCAGGACGGCCCCAAGACGAGCCAAGAAGGCTCCAAGACTACCGAAGAGGCGCCCAGGACAGCCCCAGACTACCCTAGAACAGGCCCAAAATGGGCCCAAGAGCGGGAGCAGGAGGCTTCCAGCGACCTCCAACACACCCCCGATCCCTGAGAGGCCCCAAAAAGACCCCGACGAGGCTCCAAGAACAGCCCAAGAGAGCTGCGAGAGCCGTCCCGAGAGAGCCCAAAGAGGGTAAAATCTTGGATTTCACATGGTTCTTTCTAAATGTTTTTCGCCTTCTGAAGGTTTCCCGCTTCCAACCCTCGAAGATCGAGGATTTTTTTTAACAAAAAGGGGATTCCCAGAATTTCCGCTTTTTTTCCAAGTGGGATTCCGACTCGGAGATCCCGCACATCCCCTGACATCTGGCCGGTACTGCGCCTGCCGGCTTCCCGGGGGGCCCCCAAGACGCCTAAGGACAGCCCAAGACGACCCCAAGGAGCCCCCAGAACGCAAAGAACGGCCCAACACGCTCCCGCGCAGCCCGAGACACCGTTCCGACGGCTCTCCAGGACTCCAGGAGGCCTCCAGAACCCCCAGGAGGTCCGGAAGATCCCACACCCCTGAGGGGCCGGGCTAACAGAACCCGCGAGGCACAAACACAAAACAGCGCCGAGGAACTGGAGAAACATGGAAATCGCACAATTCCTTTTTGGGGGGGTTTTTCAAGTTCGGCCCCCGGCCTACTCTTGCACAACAGACCACACTTGGGGGGGGCAGAATCGGTGCCGTCATCCCCCTTATGGCCGCCCCCCCGAACCTTTGGGGGGTCCCCCTTCCGTCCTCCCCCGTCGCTCCCGCTTGATACTTCCTCACCTTGTACTCAAGACTGAGGTCTTCGTTTCGGCATCGCCCTTGGGGGGCTTCCAAGAGTCCCTGTTGAACTTGACTTCTGAAGTAATTATCATTTTTGGGGAGCGTAGAGAATGTGGAGGAGGAGGGGGAGAAGAAGGAGGACGGATGATTTTCAGGGACCCCAAGGATCGAGGGTCGAAGGATTGACCTCGGAGGTACTGCTGCTACAACTACTCCGCCCTCCCCCTCCTCCTCCTCCTCCTCCTCCTCCTCCTCCTCCTCCTCCTCCTCCATTCCCCTCCTCCTCCCCTTCCTCTTCTCCCTCATCTTACCTCCCATCTTCGCGGCGGGCGACGCCGGAACGGAGCCCTCGGGGGCGCCATCGCCTCCAGTGGCGCCCATCGCCCCGGCGGCAGCGCCGCCGGTCAACGCCCAAGTGACGACGCCGGCACCCTCGCCGGCGGAGCAGGAGGCCCTGGACAAGGAGAAGGAGCGGCAGGCCGAGCAGGAAAGGGCGGAGGCAGACAAGGCAGCTCTCGAGGCTCTCGCGTCCGTCAGTGCCACCACGGTGGAGCGGGCCCTCAGCGTCTTGGTGCAGAAGACGATCACCTCCAGCCGCACGGCGAGAGGCCCCGCGCAGGGCATGTGGGAGCACGTGGCAACCAATGTCCAATGGATTCCGGTCGTGTCCATCACCCTCGGGGCCGCCCCTGGTCAGGTCGAGGTCGTCCTGAGCCTCGAGGACGTGAACGCGGGAGTTCCACTGAGTGCAGACATCGTGAAGATCCTCGTGAGAACCAACAACTCGGCGAACTCCTTGCAGTCACGTGTGCTGGCACGCGAGCATGCCCAGGCCATGATCACTGCCCACCGCGGGTGCAGTTTTGCAGCCTGGGTGGCCCAGGCCATCTCGATCGCGCGGTGGATCTTGGCGTACGTGCTTGCTCCCCGCGGCTGGTGGCCCGACTGGCTGAGCTCGGTCTGGCTCGTCAACGCACCGTACGAGAGGGTCTCGGGCAACCGCAGGCTGTGGGCCACGTGGCTCGCGACCCCCTCGAGCGGCTGGTGGGCCTCGGCGGCAGCTCCCAACACTGCGCTGGGGAGAATCGGGTACACGGGGATCTGCATCGGCGGGGGGGCTCCGGTCCCGAACCAGTTCGTGACGCTCGGGCGCCTGAGCGCATGGTGCGTCATCCTCTCCGCGCAGCTGCAGCTGCCGATCATCATCTGCCAGGACAGTCTGCGTCTGCAGTACGCCACGCGCACTCTGAACGCGGCCGACGAGCTGGTGCCGACGAACCGGCCCAACGTTCTTCCGCCGCCGACGGCAGACGAGATGGAATGGGTGGCCACGAGGCTCGCGGCGCATGCCGCCCAGCAGAACGACCTGGCGCGCGCACATGTGCGCTGCGCGGAGAACCTCGGAGCCAACCAGGCCGAGGTCTTCCAGACGCCGCTGCGACGCATGTGCACAGCGCGCCCCGAGCGCCGCTCAACGCTGCGCATGGCGCAGGACCAGGCGGAGTCCGACGGCGGGCTCGGCAAGGCGGGCACGCGGCACTCGGTGGAGTCGGCGCTGCAGGAGAGGTTCGGTGCATGGCTGGCCAGGGTGACAACGCACGTCCGCGCGGCCCTGGGGCACGGGTTCGACCGGGAGACCACCCCCTCGTGGTCGACCGAGGACAGCCTGTTCGACCAGTACCCGGATCTGGCGGCCGCGCTGCTGGACGCGTTCAACGACGTCGGCCCGCTGCGCGGTCGGGTGGACACGCCGGGCGAGCCGGGCCACTGCCCTTCACTGCCGTTGCAGTTCTGGAGCCTTGCGGGCTGGGGGCAGTTCGATCCCGACGGTGGGCCGCCCACTGCCATCGCGCGGACATGGCACCAAAGGAGGATCCTCTTCTTCTTGTTAGATCCATCTCGAGAAGGACCACCAGATCTGCCAGGCCATGAGGATCACCAGCCAATTCTTCGTCCAGGAGGCCACCAGGCTGCGGCGGGAGAACGCGCAGGCGCTGCGCGAGAAGGCCAAGGTACCAGAGATAGACGCCCTCGGAGTTCCTCACCCACATCTGTGGCCGGCCTTGCTCGGCGCGGCCCGACAGCAAGGCGAGAGGGTCGGAGCGGCCAATGCGAAGGTGATCGCGGATTATCTCGACGCCATCAAGGCGGACGGAACGATGACCAACGAGAAGATGTGCGACACGGTAAGGCACTGCAGGATATCATACACACACGACAGGAAGACAATGAAGATACACATCTCGGCAGAGAGCTCTGGCGTCGCGCCGCAGCTGCTCGACTCCTTGAAGCAGCTCGGGGCGGAGATCAAGCGCGGGACCCCGCCCAAGTCGCACAATGAGCGGATCATGCAGCTATTGTTGGATCACGCCGAGATGTAGATACATTGTTGACACAGCCTCCCCAAAGATCGATTTCGACACATCGAATGACATCGCCTCCCAGGATGATTTCGACACACAGAATGACCTCGCCTCCAAGAATGATTCCGACACCCCGAACGATGACGCCTCTGAGGGTGAGCACACTAGCTAGAGCGGCTTTGCCATCATCTCTTGCTCCGCCGCCTCGCGAGGGCCTGAGCCCGAGTAACCTCGGGCCTGCTAGAGAGCCTCACCTTCCTCCTCCTCCCCTGACTCGTCCTCCGACGCCTCCCCCGCTTGACCTCCCTCCTCGAAATTCTTTGGAGCCCCAACCCCCCTCGTCCTCGAGTGCGACTTTAACCCCCCCTCGTCCTCGGCCGCTGAGCCCCCCTCCTCCATTTCAGAATCCTGTGGGTCGGTCTTTAGAGGCCAGCCTCCTTCGTTTAGTTGGAAGAGTC